CATTCTCCTCCCACCACTTCTTCCAGTCACATTCTGTTGGATCTTTCCCCTGCCCTTTTGTGACAACTCAGGCAAATTCCTCAGCTTCTGGTCACTTTCGTTTACATGAACAATCTCATTAATCAACTGCGACTCATTTTCAGATATTAAAAAGACAAATCTAAATCAGCACTTCAATATCATACCCAACCCGAAGCTTGTCCCTCCAAGCCTTCGTCTCAGAGCAGGTTATTTGCTCTCTCACCTTCCCCCGTGTCCTAGCTCCTCTGCCACTTCGGGCGTGGCTCAAGTCAGATCAGAAGATGGAAAAACTAGAAAAAGGCGAGTCAAGTATTTTTCCTTAATCGGTGCTACTTGTGCGGTTCTTTCCTGGCTGCCAATGCTTGCTGTATGTCCTAGGTATTCAAACACTGGCGCTTTCTGGTAGAACACATTCCTGGGGCCATTAGAGGCTTTCTGAGGGACTTCCACACTATACAGGTTCTTGATATGGGTGGTAAACTCCTTAAGTGATACCGCGCACGGTATCTACACCTACACCAGCCTCAGCTTCTGTGCTCAGTGATATATTCAGTGGCTTCTGACTGGCTTTCTCACCCTAGGAGATTCTCCTGGCTGAAGAGGTCCCACTTAAATGGCCGAGTCTCAGCTGCCACCCTCAGTACCATTTGCCTCTTGGGAAATTCATACATCCTTGCCTCTCCAACTGCCACTTCTACACTGCTCTCTCTTCTCCTGACAGCCTCCTGCCTTCAGAATTCCCTAGTTTCTATGATCACATAAGACATCAAACTTTAGGGATGAGTCAAGCGCCCCCACATTTCTCTGATCCCAAGAGAGCGGCAAGGCTCTCAGTTTCATGACTCAGTTAACATCCAACTGGAGAGCAAGATGGTTTCTTTCTGCAGGAACCTCTTGATACTATCAGTGATCTCTCAGGGTCCTTGCCACCAGGCTGGGGGGCGGGTTGTAGGAAGAGAGGGGCGAGGTCCTCAGCACTCCTTCATCAGCTAATTGCCCTCTACCTTGATGTCTTTCTCCAATCATTAATCCTTTTTGAACTTCTTATTTTCTCTTTATGGATAAAAGTGGGCAATGGCCAGTATCAGAACCAGCTGGTTTTTAGCAAGTCTTAAATGGATGTGTGGGCACTGATTGCCCATTAGTCTCTGCTTTGAGTCCTCAACTGAAACTCCAAGCTGATGGAAAGTCCCAATTAACATTCTGTTAAACATAGTTTTGTGATCATTTGATGAGTGTGTCTTCCCCACTAGACTTTCTCTCTCTAAGGACTCCGCATTTGCTCTCCATTGAATACCAAGATCACGCATTCAGTATCTGGCACATAGCAGGAGCTCAACACGTATGTGATGAGATGATGACTAAAAGAACAGGGGGAAAGAGTGAGAAGACCAGATCAGATTTCTACCACTGAAACTCCCTGGTTTGGAAGGGCTAACAGAGGAGGCATCATCTGAGCAAAAGCAGATGTGGCAAAGATCCCAGTGCCTGGCGGCTTATCAGAACTACCCACAGAGCTTTTGAAATAGAGAAACACGTAGAGCTAATCTGCTGACTCAACAGACCTAGTGAAGAATCCGTGAGCTAAGGCGCATAAGAGAGATCCCATAACGTGCTGGGAGGGGTCGTGGGACAGCAAGGCTGGACCTGCTGAGTGTCAGGGAGACTTCCTGGAAAAAGCGACGCATTAGGAGGACAAAAGTGAGCAGATGAAGAAAGCGGCACGGGAAAGACACGGCTGGCACGGACCTGCAGGCCAGAGGAGATGATATAAGCAGAGCACTGAGGCTAGGGAGAAATTAGATTCCTGCCCAGTCCCAGTGGTCTGGGGAAGAGGAGGCGGAGTCAGGGGAGCAGTCCACCTGCCTGCCAGCTGCTTAGATGCAGAAACCCGGTCTCATAAAGTTAGCAACATCCTAGGGGTTAAGTGGGCCAACTGTGGATCAGACTGCCCAGATTCCTCATCTACAGAAGGAGGCCATAAAAATACTCACCTCAAGAGGTGAGCATTAAAGGAGAAAGTGATGTAATATTTTAGCTCGTAAGCACACACGATATATCAGCTAGAACCTCCTTTTTTTTAAATAATTTTAGTTTCTGGAATAGGCTTATGTATGTTTCCAGTGATGTGCTGAGTCAGCTTAGACTGGCTAACAAGGGCCAAATCCACACAGCTTTGCATTCAGTGAGGATCAGGTTGGGAGTCTGAAATTGGCCGTGGTGGGAGTCTCCACACCAAGGAAACTGACGAAGCTACAAATCCCAACCTTTCTCTCGAGAGCTGGTTTACCAGCAGGCTGTTAGATACTCTGTAAGTGTTGATTGGATTGGTCTAGATTGAACTAAGTTCAGTTGAAAAGTGAGGTAAGGCCGCAGGAAAACAAAAGTACAGGCTGGAAGGAAAAAATAAATCTGCCTAGGAAAGAATAAGGCCTTGACCTTGGCTGAGTGGCAGGTGAAAATGGAATCCAAATTTTCACTCTAAGCCAGCACTCCTCCCTTCAGTGTATTTTTCTACCCATCATGTTTTGCCACTGCCTCTAGAATAAGTGTGAAAATGATTGAGTGATAAGCACTCACAAGCTGTGGCTGCATCTGAGGTCTGAAAGCTCACGGAGACAATTTCAAAGGTTTGTTCTATCTGTGAAGAAGAGTTAGTCCAGGAAGATATAGAGTATAAGTTACCTGAGATGAGAAATAATAAAGAAAAACATCAAATATTGCAGAATGAAAAAAAATACTGAGACACTTTAATAATATCTGAAACCTTACCATGAAACACTAAAGGTAATTGAAGGAAGTTGTGAATGACTCAGAACAAGCAAATGTGAACACCTGTAAATTGTATCAGCACTTGGCCACATTAAGACAGGAAAATATGAGCACATCTATCTCTTTTGGGTGGCAAGAAACGCATCCATTCCTAAGCTCTTTGACAGAGATTGTGCCAACCCTAAGACCAGTGGATGAGAAAAGCCTCTTAAGAAGTCATCACTTGTAGACAAATAAATGACCATCTCCAAAGCCGGCAGCCCTGAAATTAAGATTATAAGGACAGGTATTCTAGTTCAGCCTTCTAGAAGATCTCAGTGGGGAGTGTGGGGAGGTTCCTTTAAGTCAGATAGGCAGGGCTTCCTTACACGTGAGAGTGGGTTGTTCTGTGATCTTATGCGAGGAGTGAACTAATGAAAGCATTTGTCCTCTAGGATCTATTTGCCAGTTCAAGTTCAAATACAGTCATGCCGTTTTTTTTCCTTCCAATTCGTTCTCAGGATCCCACTTACTTTTATTAGCAGGTAGACTAGTCAAGATCTAAATCCTCCCCTCCACGAATGATCTAAGAATTCTAGGGGCTTTCTTGGTTCCAATGGGATCATTCCTAATTCTAACCCAGGCAGAAAGTGAAAAGCAAAGCCTTTGGTTGTCCGCTCGCCCAGCTGATTTAGTCACCACCAAACTGCTCCACTGTTGAACACTAACGGTGCAGAGTCTAAGACATGCTTGTCCGCTGGTAGGAGATGCTCTTGCTGACCCCGGTCTCATCCTCTTACTAAGCTTCAGTGTAATGACCCTTTCAATTCACCGCCGTCTGTTCATCCACTGTTTCCCAAAGGACAGCTGCTATGGCAGAATGACAGAAAGAAGGCAGACTTCCAGCCTCGTTCACATACTCTGCCACTCCAAAATCCTTTAGGCCTGTTGGCCCAGAGCCCCACGTGCCACCTGGGCAATTCCATCCTGTGGCCCACAGTGTCCTTTCTTCGCAGCAGGCTTTGGACCAGGCCAACAACCCTGTTGTCAATGACTAATTTCCCTAAATTTACATTTTGGAGAGAAGGAGTTGGGTCCTTGGGGTTTCCCTTTCCAAAGGGCCCTGGATACTTTAAGCAAGTAACCTCAGCCCCTCTCCAGCCAAGCGTCCCTGAGAGGAAAACCTTCCTCGAGCCACTGGCAAGTGCCTCCTTTTATGCACTAGGGAGAAGAGACACCTGAGTGGCTGCTCTCAATAATAACAAACATCTCCTTCAAGCCGACCTGGAGCTCTACCTCTGGCATAGGGTTCTGGCATTATTTTTTAAGCTCTAACTCAGCAGGCACAAGATGAGAGAATGTTAAGAACTGTGAGAAAATGCAGAAATGATCAAGGACAACCACTGTATTTTGAGGATGAGAAGACAAACCCAGGGACTCTCTCTGATTAAGGTCCTACTCTAATTTCACCGAAAACTGTGTCTTACTTCTCTGCTCAAGGCATGGTCTTCACTGCCCAGCGATGGCCTTCAGATTTTGAACAGCCAGCAAATTCAAAAGACGATTTCCTCCGGCCGGGAGGGTGGCTAGCTAAGGCAAAATAAAGCTTATGGAATGGGGAACCCGCCGATCTTCTTGATCACATTTGTGATTAATGCCCGCTTCCCCAACTGAAAGCATTTCTTCCAATTTTCATTCTCAATAGCTTGAGAAGAATGTTGGGGACAGCAAGGTAAAAAGAAATTTGGGGTCACTTTATTTCCATAAATGACAGCATGAATCACACATTGCTGTTGCTAAGGAGATGCATGAGGTTCCTATCAAAAGGACAAAGAGAAATTGATTGCACTGAAGATGAGTCGTCAGGGGGTTTGGAGAACCATTCTGCCTTTTGAGTTCATTGTGATCAGCTCTCTATAGGAACAAAGACATATTAATCTTCCCTACAAATCCCCAATCATTTATCCATTCAGCAGAGAACAAAGAAAACATCAGCACAGGACTCACCACCCTCTTTCACTTCGCAGCACATAGGGTGAGGGGCCATTCTCCTGCCATATTTACCCGGAGTGGGGCCACTCTCCCTGGTATCCCACAAGACACAATCCTACGTCCAGAATCTGAAGATTCTGTATCGAAAATTCTCAAGTAGGAAAAGACTCTTTTCTCTCAGTTAATAACTAATTTCCAACCAGTGACTAATTTTTTTTCCTGTGACATCCACTCAGTGGAAAACAAATGAAGAGAGGAAAACTTAAGTAAACAAATCTGAAAATGAGGCCACAACACACAGAGATGGAGGCGCCTCTACACTTAACGATCAAGGAAAGCAGGCACTTTAAGGTTTATCTCAAACAAAACCGTGATTTTAACTGGCCCGGATCGAGCCTCACCCAATGAATGACTTCCAGGGCCTCTGGCTCTTTGGGACGAAAGGAGAGAATTATTTTTAGCACAACTATTTGGAAACCTCTGAGAACTTGGATCTGTTTTTCTGTCTGGTACCAAAGCAAGTTTTTTCTCTGAGCTCTCATGAAAGATCCTCAGTCTCTTGTGGATTTAGAATTCTGGAGCAACCTACCATCCCAGAGCAAGGTATGGTGTTTACTCTTTTTTTTTAGAATTTTGGCAAATGTAGCTGCAACGTCCTGTATTGTTACGGTAGCTTTTGAGTTTATTAAACAGATGCCTCTGTAAGAAGAATCCATGAAACTGAAGACCTGGGTTCAAATCTCTGGTCTGACACTAGTTTTGTGACCATAGACAAGTCACCTGACTTCTCTAGATATTGATTCCCTGTCCAACCAACTGCAAAAGGGTCTTTGGGAAGATGATATGGGCTTAACATTGCTCTGTGGACAACAAAATGTTTGACACATGTCAGGATTGATTACTGTTAGTGATATCCTATCCCTTTACTGAAAGCAGCCAAACCTCTATAGATCATGAACTGCTGACAAAAATAAATATTGATGGGTAATTATTTTCCATCGTTCAACCTTTGATGAGCCTCTACTGTAGACCAGTCTTTGTCCTAAGTGTTGGTGACAGAGTTAACATCTGGGTGGAGAAAAAGCAATAGTCAGCCGTAACACAGTGTGCTCTGGTTCTGCAGGGTGTGGTAGTGACAGGAGAGGGGAAGGGAGTTCATGGCCAACAGGAGAAGCAGTTCTGAAGGGGAAAACTGGAGCCCCAAAGGCAGAGCTGAGGAAGCACCAACCAGAAGGCACTGGGATGTGAACACCTGAGGTCCCATCCTGTCTTGCCAGCAGTGCCACTCCTAGTGCAG